CTGTTCAAAGATGGTCGCTCACAGTGGACATAGATGCTTCTTTCACTCCTCTTTCAAACCTTCTGTCCTCTCTGTCCAACATGTGAACATTGGTGAAACAAATAAGGTGTGAGGTACACTCCATGGTCCTTCTACGTCACAAACCATGAAGTTGGCTCACTTTAAAATGCACTCCTGTGTTTATTTTGTTTTTGATTTTCTTTTTTGTTGGCTTGAAATGAAATCTCTCTCCTGGTACTGCAGCTTACTGCAACGTCTGCATGAGTGTCCATTGCAGGCATTGAAGAGACAAAGCCTGAAATGGACACATTGGACAAATGGACACGCACACACACACCCAACCCACCGACTGACTCACTCACACATACCCACCCACCAATGACACAAAGACACCCATGCACACATATCAACCCCCTTTGAAGTGCACCCCACCCCCCACTTCCCTCCCATGCCAGCAGCAAATCCAGGCCATACCCAAGTCTTGGGGCTCACCTGCACGCTGCAAAGCCAATCACAAAAATGGGACAAGACAAACTGCTCTGAGTCTAAGACAAGCTACAGCTAGCAACAATCGATAGGTGTTCACATATCCTTTCCCAGAGCCTGTCAACAGGCATACAAGACCATATAGCATGCATGTAGTTCTTCTAATGACTGTCTATACAGTGGGTGCATATGTTTGAGTATATGACGCCTATTTGGAACATCCTTTGTCATATATAGTGTGTTCTATGGAGAGCTTTGTATGCCACAAGCTGCTGTAGTAAGAACACATTATGTTGAACATGGCAGCATGCCATTGTTTGAAAAACGTTGTAGTTATGAATTTTCTCTGCTAGTTTACTGCTAGAAAGCTTTAAAGTTAATAAAAACGCCCTCAGTTTTTAATGGAAGCCCATTAGCCATTAGAATTTGTTAACATTTCAGAATTAAAGCCCTTATTTTGATGCAGAAAGTTATTCTGTTAAGCATGTCTGAGTCAAATCTTCCAAATAAAAATCCTTGAATAGTTACAGTAAAGGAATTGAATACTCTCACTTTGTTAAAGGAAAAGCATTTGATTGCTTATTGAAAATATTAAATACTTTCATGCTATCCCCCTTAAACTTTTTTAGGCAAACTCTTTACCTCTAGAGAGCAACAGAACAAGTCCAACATTAGCATCAGTTCGTCCAATTTCTCTAGAAATACTTCTAACAACTAAAGACAGGAAGATGGTCATAGATTAATAAATGAAAACACTTTCTGAATGCTTCATTTATAATGGTTTATACTGCGTATGACTAATATACGCACACAAAGAAACCCAAAAAAAACTCAGTCAAAGATAACTGTTAAAATTTGTATTGCCATACTGTAGTATTTGTATCTGGCCACTGTATTTACTGTTTATTGCATGTTGCTCATCATTGTTGCTCGTGTTTTTCTCTCTCTGCTGGTCTTCAAATAAAATTTTTACGTGCAACCACCCAATTTCCCCGTGGAGTACAGTAAACTTTCATCTTATAACCATAATTTTAGGCTGTACCTTTCTCCAATGTAGCCAGCTGTGCACTGGCACTGACCGCTGATATGGTCACATAGCCCTCCGTTACGACACGTGCACTCCTGGGAGCAATTAATGCCAAAAGATCCAAATGGACATGGCTGGGCACACACTGGACCCTGATGGAGAAGAATATATCACGTTTACATGCGCATCAAACATGTCTCGGAAGGAAGCGACATATCAAACATATTAATTATTAGCAAATTAGGTAATGACAGTAATGTCAACAGTATCCAGTGAGCAGTTTCAAACTTCTCTAGTCCAAGAAAAACCCTTGGTTCATGTTTATGGCCTGGATTTAAACTTGAATTTATGGAAAAAAACCTCAAATTAATTTACTCTAAGACAAATAGTTTAATATATGCAACTTTACATTTCACAATTCTTTAAAGGTAGATTCTGTTATTTGAAAAACTAGGCTCTGATGTCTCATTTTTTCCATCTAAAGTAAAACAAGGAGCAAAAATCTCTGGAATCAGTCCAATAAATAGTAAGCAAGACTGTTATGACTGGATACCTGCAATGTAATCCCATGTGGTAACTACCCACTTCAAAGTAAAAGTACTTGGTGTCTGACAATGTGATGCAAACGACGACGTGACTAAGAGAAATCTCATGGGAGGTGAGCTGTTGCAGGAAGACATTAGTGTAAAATAGACAGAAATATTACAGCCTACGCTCACTCCCAGAGCTTCACATATTGCAGGACAAAATACTGACTCTGGTTGACATATTTGTAATGTGAATATTTACCCTGGGATAAAAACAGGCTGCTGCATGGAAATCATAGCTTAATGTTAATTGAAACTAACTAAATCAAACTAACTTGCAATAAGAAAATCTAGTTCTTAATTTAAAATGTGGCACAGTAAAGTGCAACCCTTGGTAAAGCTTTCAAAGACTACTGTGGGGGCAGGAACAGACTAAAGCTGTGGGCAACTGTACCACAAATAGATGGAAACACTCCTGTTTTCAAGTTCAAGTTACAAGAAGAGAGGCTTGCTGCAGAATTAGTGAAGCTAAATGTTAATCTTACAATACAGCAAATAAATGAAACTAATTTACATTGAAAACTTTCACAGACACAGTATTTCAGCTCAAGATAGGACCAATGCAGAACATTTATGTACTG